TAAAATCCAGAGAAAACTATATATATATATATATAATATGTGTATGCGCATCAGCCCACCAAAACCGTGGAATCCATCATCTGCAAGCATGTGAAAAACTGAGCCGACCCATATACACCGCCCACAATCCTGCAAGGCAGTGCCTCACAATATGTATCTATAGTCTGTTTATCTGTATTTATATTTATTTTACAACATTATTTGCATTTGGAAATATCTTTGTCTCCTTCGTCCTATCACATACTGTGAAAATCTGGCCACACACCGTCATTGTTTGTTTTAGATTTGGTCTGTCAGATCATCCAATTCAGACCCGCTTTTATTTCCTCTTTTTCAGCCCGGAAGTTCACAGACAAGCATGAATGGATAGCAGTGGAAAATGGGATTGGAACTGTGGGAATCAGCAAGTTTGCCCAGGTACTGATCTGTCTGGAATGTGATCTTTGGAATCTGTTGGCTAACTGCAGCAGAATCTTATCAGGATTTTTTCATGGACTTTGTCTATTTCTCTCCCGTTCATTGAAGGACACAGTGAACAGATCGAAGATCATGTACTGTAGGGTAATATCGCCACCTGCAGGAGAAGGACGCTAGGCACAAAAAACTAAAGACCAATTGCAGCCTAGGGGCGGCCCCTGCTGGTGGCCAAACCCCCCACCTGCTGACAAGTCTCCAGTTTTTTGCCTAGCGTCAGGAGTAAGGAGCTAAGAATTCTTTCTCGGGTATTCTTACCTGCTTCTTCCTGCTTTTTTCAGTAGAATCTTCTAGCAAGTGTTGTCCGGGCGACAGGCTGGATATCCTGGATCCTTGGAGTCTCCCCTGGACGACCGACTATCGCATGCAGGCTCGCTCCGGTGGGTCGGCTGCGACCGCCCCGCTCCGGCGGGGTGGCCTATGGGTTCGTCCCAGGGGGGTGCATATGACTGGGGGTCTCGGCCGCTCTCGCTGGATTCGCGACGCGATTTCGCGTGCGTATGCCATTAAGGGGCGTGAGCCTCCTTTTTCTGTTACGGCCCATTCTACAAGGGCTGTTGGGGCATCTTGGGCGTTTCGTCATGGTGCCTCCTTTTCTCAGGTCTGTAAGGCCGCGACTTGGTCTTCTGTTCACGCCTTTGCCAAGTTTTACATGGTGGATGTTTTGGCATCTGCGGATGCTGGTTTGGGGCGCAAAGTGTTGCAGGCGGCCGTTTGAGGGAAAAATTGTTGTTTTTAGTTGGGTTGTTGTTTTCTGTTGGCCCACCCCTCTTTTTTGGTACTGCTCTGTGACGTCCCTACAGTACATGATCTCCGATCTGTTCCCTGTGTCCTTCAATGAACGGGAGAGAAAATAGGATTTTGGTACTCACCGTAAAATCCTTTTCTCTCCGTTCATTGAAGGACACAGGGCCCGCCCCTCTGTGTGGGTGTGTACTCCTTTACTGCTTGTTGCTAAACTGGAGACTTGTCAGCAGGTGGGCGGTTTGGCCACCAGCAGGGGCCGCCCCTAGGCTGTAATTGGTCTTTAGTTTTTTGTGCCTAGCGTCCTTCTCCTGCAGGTGGCGATATTACCCTACAGTACATGGTCTCCGATCTGTTCCCTCTGTCCTTCAATGAACGGAGAGAAAAGGATTTTACGGTGAGTACCAAAATCCTATTTTTTACATATTTTTTTAATTCTTGGTCTCTCTTCATTAATGAGTTCATCGGTGCACAAGCAGTTGTATAGGAACACCGTAGACTTTTCTACATTTAGTTTATGGGGATATAGACTTTCCTAACTTTTTAGGGTCATATTATTTAAAAGAAATATTATGATTAAATCAAAACTAAGGACAATATCAGCACTGTTATATCACAAACACTGCAGGTATATAACTTTAGGAAAACTAGTCTTTAATATCTTTAGACATATGTATGTGAAGGTAACAAATAAGCTTATCAGTGTGTGCTAACATTTGTAAACCTTGCATCAGTGAGGGGTTTGTCATTGAATAGGGCAGTATGCTGATAACATATGCAGGCCCTGCTTCATAGCGGTACACTGTGGTTGTGCCTCACCGTTCATCTCCCTATGTTGAGATCTCAGGGTGGTCATAAAAATGCCACCTTACTTACAATTGTTAGCATTGTGTGCAGTAATTAGGGAATTTTTTTAAGGGGTTAAATCGCCATATGTGCACAGTGCCAATGGAAAGCAATAATCTGTGAACGCTCCTCTCAGCCATAGGATGTGGTTCTCTGGTTCCTCTCAACCGGAAATACATGTATGCAGCGCGAGAAGCGTTCAGCCTGAGGAGGGAGCTCTTCATGATTGCACCTCCTCTTTTTTTTCTGATTCCATTCTTTTAAAATGTTCATATACCTCCATGAGCCCGATACCTAATAGAAATGCCAGCCCCGATATTCATTTTATGCATAGATAAATATAAAAAACAAAATATATCGGAGGACTTTCCGTTGAATATACCTTTCCATACTTGCATACATATCCAGTTAGTTTATCTTACACTAAGCAAACCACTCATTTTATCACCTTAGTTTATATTCCATCCTTAATTCCGGCAGTGTTGATCCCCTCTGTAAGAAGATCAGGTTGTCACTGGAATAAATTAAGGAACTACTCAGTCTCTTGGGTGGGAAGCAAGTTGTCTTTTAAAATGATTATCTTCCCAGAATTGCTGTGACAGGCTTTAGGCTGGGTTCATATCATGTCTGAAGCAGATTTGCAAACGCATTGCATTTTTACAGCGATTTTGCCGCATTCCCTTTTTTTTAGCTTAAAATGGGCTTTCAGGTGCTGTCCAGTGCATATGTGTGCATTCCAGACCAGAAAAAAATGAGACGAGCAGTATTCTTTTTGTCTGGTCTGGCATGGACTTCGCTGGTGTGAACACAGCCCAGTAATACCATAGAGATTTATTGGGATGCTTTTTTGGTCCGGGAACAAACTGTTTTGGTCAGCACGTGATCCGGATATGGTGTGACCAAGCCCTTAGTGAGGGCTGCACCTACATAATTCCAGAAAAATATTTGTGGTTCAAAAGATTTTATTAAAATTGCATCTTACAATATTTAACGTCATAGAAAGGAGCCATAAAACATCTTCCTAAAGAATTTATCTGCAAAATGATGTAAGGAAGTGAAAAGAATTAACAGCGGGATTACATTTGTTTTTTTGAGGGGTTTTTCTTTTATCCTTAAACCACGGAGTGAGAGGGCTGCGTTAGACCCCATAAACAGTTTGAAATGCCTGGGCTAAAGGAACCCAGAAAGCCCTCAGTCATACCATTCTTGCACAAAAGATATTTAAAAGTCCCAGTTCATCACAAATAAGATGTTTATTCCTCATTTTAGGATAGTGGGCAGGACCATGCATGTAATTTCCTAAGGGCCCTGGGTCAACTGTGCATTGACGAATGCAACTTTACTATATAGCTACAGCTTAATGTTATCGAGCCATTGATTTCAAACTGCATACAGCTGTTTCATGTTTCTGGGCCATCATCCATGAACTGCATGGAAATAATGTAGCACTATACCCTTTATTTTTAGAGATTTGTGATGTAAACGCATTCTGTTTTTATGAAAGGCTCTGCTGTGCAAACCAGGGGGGTTCCTTACACCATGGGGGAATTTATCAAAACTGGAGCAGACAGAATCAGGAGCAGTTGCCCTGGGCAACCAATCGGCATCTCTCTTCAGTTTGCCCAGGTAAGATTTGAAAATGAAAGAGAGAAGCTGATTGGCTGCAGTGCAGATTTGCGATCCTCCAGTTTTGATTGTATTCCAAATCCAAGGTTAAAGACACTACCTCTCTATGGTTATTGGAGATGTATTGGACCGTTCTTTTTCTAACAAACATGATACAACACAATGATGTTGTAAACCAACTTTAGTTTTAAAAAAAAAATAGTAAAAAAATGTGAATGCTGCAGCAGTAAATATGTACACACTGAATACTGTACTTTTCCTCCAAAGAGGATCACCACGTAGTATGAAAGGGTTATGTGGCGTGCCCATGTGTCACTGCTGTGCACTCGCTGTCTGGACCACAGTCTTCTGGCCCTGGCTCTATAACCAGCCATACTTTAGATGGACATTAAACCGCAGTCAGAAGTTAGGATATGACTATCATTGTGTCTAAGCCTCCTGACATATATTTACATTTTATATTGTGTTAAAATGAAGATCTTTATATTATAATTGCCTTTTCCCACGCCAGCTACTTCTCAGTGCTTCCAACCCAGGGCATCTATATACAGACCACAAATGTCCATATATATATAATCAGATTTAAACTAATGATTTGCAGTGCTGGTACAGTAATCACAGAATGAAAAGGGGTCATAAGAGACCCAAAACATTGCTGCTATATACTGCATGGCTCTTTTACTGGCTTCTGCTGCAGTGCTTGCTTTTGATGTTATGAACGGTAAGCTATTCAGGATTGATTTTTAAATGTAGTGCTCTGTGCCCGGGTTATAGATTATTAGTTGGATCTGTTTTTCCATTTCGTATCTGGAAGTTACATTGCAGCATTAAGCATTGGATTGTGGAATGCACTCTGCCCTTAAAGTATTGGTTTATAAACCCCGAACATCTGTAGGTACCTTAGAATTGGCTTTTTGCTTTACATATTCATTTGGTCAGGACTTTACAAGGACCTCTGAAGCAACCAGCTCATGATGCCTAAGTATCCCAAAACCCTCATAGCTTTTTAAAGCATGTAACAGGAATGTACAGGCTTCCTGTAAGGGGTTATTTGTAATTTGTAAATGTATCATGCCCCATGTCCCGATACCATTTTTTTTTTCAAGACCAAGTACAAGTACTTTCCCTCAGGTACCTGTCGATACCAATTACAGATACTTTTCTTAAAGGGACATGTGACATATTTTCTAAAACAATACAGACTGATGATTTTAGGGCAGTTTCTTTGTAATTATGAAGAACTGTAACTCATTATATGATTATTCAGCAATTGAGAATGGCAACTGGCTATAGAGCAGTAAAGATTCCATCAATCCACGATTATCCAGCAATTATAAAGGGACGCCAGGCCGGCCTCCCCAGGGACGAATGGGGTAAATCCAGGCTCATGCTGTACTCCGCTCCAGGGCTGTCCTGTGCTGTACTGGTGTCGGGAAGGAGGAGGAAGCGGTAATGCAGCCGGGCAGGCACTATCAAAGACAGCTGCCTGAGGACTCCAGCACGCTCAGGACTTCACACAGCGGAACTTCTGGAAAAATGTAAAGGGCCAGTATCGGCCTTTAGTATAGGGGCATTTTCAGGAGCACAAGTACTCCTGAAAATGCCCTGTATCAGCCCCGGTACCCATACTAGTATTGGTATCGGGACATCCCTATTGCATAGTGTTAGATATTGTAAACCTTTAAAAACCTTTACTTGCAAGCCTTTTGCACTGAGCTTGCCCTGCCAGAAGTGCTGCACATTATTTTCATTATATGTAATGCTGGAGGAGACTGTCAGAGACTGCAGACATACTAGAGGAAATGATGGTCACAGAATGTGGACATTCTACAGGTTTGGTAAGAAAACTGAAGACCTACTTGCAGAGAACAGTGATACCAGTCACATGTTACATGGGACTAGTAGAGATAGCTGTCTATCATTGTACGCTTCTGCCACTACTGACTGTTGAAGCTCATGGGCTGCACAATAAGTGCCAAAGGCCTGTATGTTGCTCATGGGCCACAGGTTGGGGACCAAGGGACTAAGCATTATAATACATTGTCTTGCTGCTGCTTAATGCCCCATTGCCTTATCTAACCCCAGTGTATGTCATAACACAAGGGATTCATTGTTCTGCTACTATCAGGACCCATCCTGCTTGGGGACCTTTTTATGACTATTGTGTTGTATTTTTTCTCCTCTAGGAGGCATTAGGTGACGTGGTTTACTGTGGACTTCCAGAGGTTGGGACCAAGTTGAATAAACTAGGTAAGGTCCTACCTTGCAAGGTTCTACTCTGACTACTGTATGTTTGCTTTCCTCAGTAACAAACCCCTACAAGATCCATCATTGGTTTTCAGCAGTTTGTCCAGCCCACAGATACGTTGTGTATAAAATCCAGAGCAGAGAAAGCGGCACATATGCAGGGATACGGTTAGAATCTGCTATTTGGTGCAGTGGCACTTCATCCAGTGCTTCTGGATTTTACACACAATGCATGACAAAGGTGATTGCTGGTAAAGGATATTGGGATGTGAGTTTGCTGATTTAGCTGGAGGGGGTGGAGTGTTTTTTGTGCTTTGTCATCACAAAAGTGGTGTTGCACTTTGAGGTAAACAGCAGGAGTTGCCACCCACGGAGATCTGGCCAAAAAGTTAAAGAAGAACTCCAAGAAAACTTTTTCCTAACCCTTGCAGTGGGACTACCCCTGCACTGCAAAGGTTAAGTGTCTCGTTTGTGTCTAGGGGCTAAAATAACAAAGTTATACTCACCTAAAGCTTTGAGCCGGCCAGCTGTAATAGCGCTCCTTCCATCCTCTCTTCTCCTCCACTGCAGCATTGGAATCGTCCTCCATATCCTCACGTGTATACGCTATGTAGAGAAATGATTTATGGGACTTTAGACCGCTGCAATGGAGGGGGAGAGACATTCCAGGGACCGGTCTAAGAGCCAGCTGGCTCAGAGCATTAGGGGAGTATGTTTTTTATTAACCTAGACAAAAATGAGCAGTTAACCCTTGCAGTGCAGGGGTAGCCCTACAGCAAGGGTTAATGCAAATTTTAACTAACTTCTTTAAAGCTGTAAAGTAATAAGTTGGTGATTTTAATGGGCACTGATGGCTGGAGCTGACTGATAACACGGGGAATTTATCAAAGCAATTGTGACAGTTTTAGCCTCTTAAATAATTTTTTTTTTATGTGCAAATCTGTCTTTTAACTTGTGCCCCTGTTTTCACCTGAGCTTGCACTACTTCTTCAATTGAATGTTTTTTGCACCTGTTTTGACCAAAGCTTGCACTACTTTTTCATCTGCACTTGTTCCGGGGCTGTATGAAACTGAAGCATCACCTAAGGCTGGGCACACACCTTACAACCATCGCAAGACTTCTGTCTTGCGATGGTTGTAAGGTACTTAAAAAAACGTACGATCTGCCTATGTTGCATAGGCAGATCGTACTTGCGATGATCGCAAGCCACGCCCCCTGAGGGGCGGGCTTCCGATGACCGCAATGCCGAACGGGCAGTGTGCGCTTGCGCACACCGGCCTGTGCAGCTGTTATCGTACGGACATGCCACAAACCCGCCGAACATCGTACGATGCCCGGAGGGTTTTCGAACATGTCCGTAAGTTTAAAGTCGTGCGACCTTACAGTAGTAGAGGTCGCACGGCTTCCACACACCTTACGATCATCGTACTTTCGCGGGATTTCCCGCGATTCTCGTACGATAATCGTAAGGTGTGTGGGGACCCTAAGAAAACAATCGCAACTTAAGAAGACCCCATGACCACTTCTTCAAGAAGCGACAGTTAAGCTTTTTGCCTGGAGTTACAAGTCTTCTTTCCTGGAGTCTATTAAACCTGATTAATGAACAACATTACACTAGCATCATAAATCTGGTGCAAATATATTCCGCACAAGTTCAAACACTCGCAATTGCTATGTAAATTCCCCCCAGAGTCCTCCAGTTGCCTTGCAAATGTAGAAACGCCTCTATAGTATAGGGACAGTAAAACATACTTTCCCCAAGAACTAGGGATGCACCGATACGGTTTTTTCAGTATCAAGTACGAATACCGATATTTTGCTTTCAGTACTCGCCGATACCGGTGACTGATCACATGACCACTGATTGCTCAGCTCTCGGTCTCTGCCCCGCATAGGGATTTCTACCTTCTCTCTGTGCTTCTCCAGCGCTCACTGCTACAGACAGGGAAGGGGGCTGGCTCTGGCTCTAGAGAGGCACAGCAGTATTAGTAAATGTATTCCTGTGACCCAAAAGAAGTATTGCCAAAAAAAGTTTGTCTTCTCTTTTAGATATATCATTGATAGCTTTTGGTAGCTAATGTTCTGAAAGGTCAAGTTTCATGTTCTCAATCTGTATTATTTTTGGAGTCCCTGTCCTTCCAGAATAAGTAATTTTAGACATTTTGCTATGTGCTTGTATTGAAGTAGTGCTGTGCCTTGTGCACAGTGTACATGATCTGTACTTGAGTCACATTACACTTGTGCATCTTATAAATTCTCTGGTTTCTCGTAGAAGAGTTTGGAACCCTAGAAAGTGTAAAGGCAGCTAGTGAACTATTTTCTCCGCTGACGGGAGAAATTACAGAAATAAATGGAGCCCTAGCTGACAATCCCGGCCTGGTGAACAAATCCTGCTATGATGAAGGTAAACACAATCGTGTGCAGTGGAGTTGTATTTAGACTCGTCCTCACTACAGCCATGTAATTACTATACACTGTGGCATTCCACCTCTATAGATTTTATTGTCAGCAGGAAAGTCCCTCCAATTCTGATAACCTACATAAAGGGAATGCTTTTCATTGTTAGTGAATTTTAGGGCTGCTACCAACTAATCGATAATGGGAATAGTTGTCAACTATTCTCATTATCGATTAGTTGGATGGATCCCCTAGCTCCCTCTCCTCCACGCTGGGAGGAGGGTAGAGCAAGAAGTGGGTGGGTGCAATAGCCAGCCTGCTATCGAAATTTGAAATGGCCAATAGCAGGTTGGCTATTGCAGCAGCCCACTAACCGCTGTATTTACATTCAGCTGCCATCTGTGGAATCTTGCCACTGGCAGCTGTCATTCCCTGGCTGAAGCTATTCAAGCGCCATGTGCTTACAATACAATTATTTTCTTTAAAAAATTAGATTGGAACAAAGTCATTTTCTGTTTCAGCCTGAGAAAATTCTGCTGCAGGAGATGCGTTGCGGTGCCATTCATTTCAATGGCACCCCAAACACGCCTCCCACATACAATGTGATCGCCCGCACTGGAACGCGCGGGTACCGCAATGCCACACGTTCCAGTGCATTGTGATTGCAATAAAATTAGGCGTGCAAACGTATTCTGAAGTAGAGGGCCTGCAGCTGCCTCAGCAATACATTATATTATATTATTAAGAAGGGAGGCAGCAGTGCCAATACTGGGCATTTTCACGTGTATTCTTCCCCTAGAAAATGCAATTTTAAATTGTATTGGCACTGCTATTACAGAGGAAATAAGAGGTGTGTTATTAGTCTATTTCTGTACACACAGCAACGTTCACAAGTGTGACATTTCTTTAGGATTTGGAACCCATATTTGTCATTTTGTGAACTGTACGACCTTCAACAGGTTGCCCCCAAAACGCTTTGGCTACCTTTTGGTTGCCAATAATAAACGACCTTGGACTCTTTACACATGGATTTCTCATTTTGGGTGGCCTTTATCTCTTGTGGGGAAAGGGGAGGGGGGTGCCCCGCTTTGTGGAGAGCAGCTAAGCTATTAGGTTCAACTGGTTAAAGATGAGTCCAGCACCTCTCCTTGTTACCAACTTCCTATCGCTTTGCTGTCTGCTGACTGAATGAAGCAAATGTCACCTTTACAAGCCCAGAGCAGAATATTTTGTATATATCTGCATGGCCTTGCCAAAGCCAGGAATCCTTTCATTCATAAGTCCAGGCTTTGTGTTTTCTTTCTCTATTGCTTTTTAAAACGAATGTGTGAGGATGGAATGAGGAGATTTCCCATTGCTGACTAAACCTTTATGTATTGTTTCTTGTATGCAGGATGGTTAATAAAGATGACTGTGGATGTTCCCTCTGAACTGGATGAGCTGATGAGTGAAGATGCATATGAGAAATATGTGAAGTCCATTGAGGAACACTGATCCTTTAAAGGAACAAGACCACTAGACATGTTAGTCATGATTAGTCAGAGTAGCGGTTTACGTCCATGGTGGCGGGATTTGACTACTACAGAGGTAACTGTTAACTAAGCTTCCCGCCATGTAAACTAAGTTGGACCGGTCGCCACAGAAGCAGCTTCAGGATCTCCATAATTTCTTTTTTTTTTTATTGTAAAGAAGAAATTACTCTGAAATTTTACAGTTAATACAAATATAATTCTCTGGATAGGATAGTCCTTGTGTTGGTTTCCTATGTGTGCTTCCCTTCAATATTGAAAGACTAGATTTGATACTTTCCAAAGACTCATTCTTCCTGTTCTGGAATCATTGTAAATGAAAACAGTAATGTGTTTGATGGAGATCTTATTTTTTGTAATTATGATGAATGACAGTAAAAGCCCCGCCGCAGGTTCACCAATAATACTGCGTAATAAAGATACATTGACACATTGCTGTTTGCTGGGATTGTGTTCCTCTGGAGTTAGTTTCTTATACATATTTGACCGATGTGTTTGCTTACCATTTATTTAAACTGCAGAAACATGAAGTGGTATGCAATGCAAACAAACAACACATCACACTGTAATAATTGTGAGGAGGAGGGAGGAGAGAAGCTGTCAGGAGGACCAGCCGGCAGTGTGTGGAAGGAGTCGGCTGTCAGCCGTGTCACAGGAGGCTGAGCTCTCGCACCGACCACTTAGCCTCCTGTGACAGCGAGTCAGGATGGATAGCAGTTACAAGCACTCGACTATCAGCTGATCACTGAGTGGGGACACTGTAAATAATTGAGGACATATAATGGGGAATTTATAAAAACTGGAACAGCTGTGCATGGCAACCAATCAGCTTCTCTCTTCAGTTTGTTTCAGTAATGATTTGAAAATGAAAAAGAGAAGCTGATTGGTTGCCATGCACAGCTGCTCCAGTTTTGATAAATCCCCCTCAGAATGTTTACTAACAATTATGAATGGAGAGGAAGTCCTCTACGTCACTTTCTGTTCATTCATGATTGTGGACATAGTAACTCATACTATACCCACAGTTTATGAATGGACAGGAGCACTCAGTATAGAGGATTCCTGTTCATTCATACCAGGGGCTGCAGAAAAAGAGAGAGTCCTCAATCTCTTTCTATTTCAAAAGGGAAATTAGGGGTCTGTTTTAGAGCCCTGATATTTCCTCAGAGCCCCCAATAGTAAAGTAAAAATACATAATTAAAATTTTTAAAAAGTTAGGGAAAAAAACCAATTGGTTTCGGCCTGACATATTTTTTTGGGTTCGTTCAGAAAATGCCAATTCGGTGCACCTTTAGTGCAAACCCCTATTAGGTTATTTTTTTGTGCGGTCTGTGTCCTACCAGGGATATTTCCCTTTACTTCTCTCCAGGAAGTGGGGGAGAATATGCCCAAAGTGAGGGGAATTCCCATCTTAGACATTGGAAGAGTTCACTGCCACCTCTTGCTCTCATGACAACTCTTGCATGTAGGATTTCCATTGCTTTGTCTTGGTAACCGTGGTCACCATGACATATAAAAGGATTAGTCTCCCCAGAGGTGACATAGACTTTAATAACAACCTGAGGAAATCTGAAGCGTCACACTGTGATAAAATCCAGATACAAGTTTATTCCAATGTAGAATTAAATGGAAGACAGTACAAGAAAGCCAGAGGGGGATTTATCACAACTGAAGCAGACAAAATCTGGAGCAGTTGCCCATGGCAACCAATCAGCTTCTCTATTTAGTTCAGTTAAGATTTGAATATGAAAGAGAGAAGCTGATTGGTTGCCATGCACAGAAGCTCCAGATTTTGTCTGCTCCAGTTTTGATAAATTCCCCTCAGTGTATTTTGGAGCCAAAACCTCACCCCCTTCATCAAGGCTTGAGAACTAGACGTCATATACGTGAACTGGGCTAAAGGTGAATTGTATATTGTATTGACCATTGCTTGGGTTAGCACATTGTCCATCAGCAGCTAGTTCTGACCCAAGTGTAGTGTTCTTCAGACGTTAGTTTGAGACACTTCTGTGATCATTTGGTATTCAGCGACAGGTTCATTTAACTAGCTTCAAGCTGCTTTCCCATTTCCATAGATTTGTATGGGGACTGAAGCAGTTGTCACAAATGTCATAAATATATATTTTGAAGACTTATATAAATAAGGCTTGCCTCCACCAACCATTGTGAGCAGCGTTTGGGAAGGGAATTAGTTAGCTAGATGAAAGTAGGCTGGAGGAATGATAGAGAGGGGGTCACTGCGGGGAGTTCTGCGGCTTTTATTCTTGGGGTCTCTGACTTGTGGAAGACCCTCCATGAGTCTGGCAGTTCTCTCCCTCCTCTCGTACATCTGTGCCCCTTCATTTATAGTGCTGGCTGTGAAGTGTCGCTCATTCATGAAAGCGATGGTTTCATCCCGCTTGCGGCTCACATAACCTTTTAGCACGGTGTTGTAGGGATTGTCTTTGGTATCTGGCTGGAGTGTCTTGTATTTAAATTCCTTCCTGGTGATGACGGGTAACAGGAACCGGCCTGTGTGGCTCTTGATGAGGTCGTCATCTCCGTCCGGACATCCCAAGGTGAGAGCCAGGAGCTGATCAGAAACTGACACCATGTCAGAGCCGGAGACCTTGTCTACATACTCGGAGTGTTTCTGACGTACTTCAACCACATCTCTGAGGGACTGCTCTCGCCTCTCCTCTAAGTCCACTATAATGCGGTGTGGGTAGTTCTGACCCAATGCTATACCTGTACAGAGGGAGGGAAATGTGTATGGTTATAATGCTAAAGTAAAACATTACTGAATAAACATCTGGGCCACATTTTTGTTTAAAAAACAAAATTAGGGGAGATGCCAGTGTTTACCTTTCCTAAAACTATTAGTTGCCTGGCTCTCACGCTAATTTAGTAAAACCTGGAATATATGTGTGCACATTTGTTCCAGACTTAAAAGGTAATTCCACTTTCCTAGGCAAATCTGGGCTAAAAAGAATTACCCAACCCCCCTCAAATCCTTAACACCCCACACACACTGCTTGTACCTGTTCACGATTGCTCCTTCCCCTCTGCTGGTCCCAGCGTACTATCTGTATCACGGGATTGCGGTCCTGTGGTATATATTTTAAATTTCGCTAGCAAATGGCGAGTACTCACTGGTCAGTGTGCTCACCAATGAGAAGCTCTTGTTGCGATCATGGATAGGTTAAGAACAGCAGGGAGGGGGAGAAGGGGCAGATTGGTCAAATTCGATTTTACCAAATTCACCTGGGAAAGTGGAACTGAAGCCAAAACTTTTTAAGATTGGGGAAAGTAATAGGGGGGGGGGGAGCTATAACCCCATTTTTATAGCTGAATCAGCAGGGTCCCCATTGTAAGATTTCCCATCTATTTCCGTTCTGGAGACAACCCAAAATGTAGCTTTTTCTTTACCTTCAGTGATAAATCACAAATAGAGAGGGTGAACCTCCCTAATGGGGACATGGACAGTAATAAAAACCTAACAGGTGTTCTCATCCCTCTCCATTCTATCCAAAACTAAAATAAAGATTTGGCAGCAGTTGCACTTTAAAGCAGAACTCCCACCGAACGTACAATAAAAAGATTAGCCTATTAAAAGACATTAAATCCTCCATGTGCTACAACATTCACCTTTATTCGAAAGATTACCCCACAATACTACAGCTGGGTGTCCTCAGCCTGTCAACAGTCAGCCCACATTCTGAGCCCAATTGGTCCTGGACCCATCTTCAGCCTGTTACTAACAGTGAATGGAGAAGGGGCATAGTAATGAGCTCACCTCTCAGTCATGCAGTTTAATGGGGACACAGAACGAAACAAAACTATATAGAGGTTCAGCCTTTCTCTACCCTATAAAACAAACAAAAATGTGGCTATAGTTGGGTTGTAATGTAACATGGGACAGGACACATTTTTACATGTTAATATATAATATAATAGAGAGAGAGATGTGTAAATTTGCCACTATAGTAAGCACTGCAATCACCCAGCCTCCCTGTTCATCAGATATCAGCCACACAATGTTCAGTCTACTGGCCGATGTGCCACCAGGGGACAATCAAATACTAATATTATCGGGAAGCCTATGCCAATCCAAAATTGAAAATCATCTTTTGAACATCTCTGGACTACATGCACATCTCCCCCGTAGTTTATCATCTTTAAACATACTGCAAGTACAGAAATACAGTGTCCTCCTACATTCCTATTTGAAATGACAATGCAGCTCTGAATACCTTAGCATGCGGTGTCAGCCCTGCCTACTTCATTTTTGATGGATTACAAAGAACACAGACCTCTCCTTATCTCTATAACCCGTCATTGTGCACAGAAGGATATTGGCTCCCAAAATCAAAAAGGTATTTTTTTTATTAGCACTTATTAAAAACATATAACAAAACACTTTCAATGGTATAGTTAACAGACTGAAAGGGAACAAATAGTATGTAGACATGTTCATTGTTAAGCTATGTGAATCATGTGACATTCCTCCCTGCCTCTTACAATGCAGTGTCCAATCATCGGGCCTGAGTATTGTCATTTGGGGGAATTGAAGTGTGAATAGTCGCCACTTTCAGAAAGTGGAAACCTTTGCACAGGAAGTTTGGGCCTGTCTGGTGGCAGGGGAGCTGGGGGAAGAGAAGTACAGCCTGCCTTTGGTTCCTCTGCTGCAGCAAACCTTTTACATTCACTGGTAAAGGTGAAGTTCAGGGGTGTATTGAATATTCACACGTCTTATACTGAGCATGTCAAACAGCTTTCTGCCAGCAGAGGGCGCCTCAGCATAAGCTATCAATGCAAGTCTGTAAAGGAGCCTTATGGACTGCTATGTGATGCAGCAAAGTACTTTGGAATAGAAGGAAATTGCCATCGAAGAACTAAAACATAAATTACAGCCACTTGTGATTATAAAAAGTGCCGCATTGATTAGACTTGTATATATATACCCACCAGCTCGCCTGAGTTGAGATGGAGGACATTTCCATGGCTTGTGGATGTGTTCATCAGGCAACCCAGCCAGCTCCGGACACCACTTCCTCACATAGGAGCCACAGGGGTCACAGGTCAAGGCGGCATCTACAGGATGCATGACAAAATTCCAGTGGTCTAGTCCTGACATCCCCCCATTCTGCCACATCATGGCATTGATAGCAACATCTGCATCCACAAGAGTGTCCTGGCAACAGAATCACAAATATTCAATACACATTATCTTACAGCCTAACTGAACGTTTAAATCATATAAATACAATCCGGGTTCACCAAAACAAAAAGGTATTCAAGATCTTACAGGTCATTTTCTTTAGAAAGCAACCAAAGGAGAAAAGCCTGTCGCCTGCTGCTGCAAATGACCCTTACTCTCTGTGCCAAAGCAGTGGTCTCTCTGCAGAGATTGACACACCACTTACTGAGTCAGATCTGGAACCCTCCAATCAGCAGGTAGCATGAGCTTTGCTGCCAGCAGAGTTATAGGGAAAAACAAACGTTCTTTTTTCAGGTCCTATGTACTGTAATACCGTATCATGGCCACTAGACGGAGCTGAGCATAGGAATATAAAAACCTATTTCCTATGCTCCTCAGCACCATCTAGAGGCCATTATGTGATATTATTTACATTCAACCTACAAAGAAACATACTAAGGGCCGGTTCACACCAGCTCCGATGCGTTCCAGCACGATTCGCTGCTGAAACGTACTGGAGCACATCCCGGCGGACTTCATGCCTTCAGGGGCAGGAGGGGGCATGGCAGTGCATTGAAGTCAATGGCACCGCAGCCACGACCCCCTCCCTGCAGTGCGATCGCCTGCACCGGAACACGTGGCAAAACAATGCCTGCATTTCAGTCCAGTGCGATCTCAAAATACAGTGCTTGCAGTGATCACAGGGCAAACAGGTCTGGGAATTGATAATAAATAGACCACTTAGAGGTAAAATACAGTAATTCAGGAGTAATTCCACCTTCCACAACGCTGCCTTCAAACAAATGTGTATGTTTTAGAATTAAATTTCACTATATCACTTGGTTATACTAAGTTTCATATTAGTTACACCTTTAGCGCTTTGATATATATGTATTAGAATAACCTGAAGTAAATTAAGTAAATCAAACTTATTTCCCTTAGAGAGGAGGTGCTTAAGAGCAGACAACGTCGCCATCTACAAGTTAACCAGGGGCAACTGTAATTCCGGTAATAACTTGTTTAATATCCTAGGCCCTTGACAAGGACAAGTGGCCACAATTTAGGTTGCAGGAAAGGAGGTTTCATGTGAAATTCCTAAGAGGGTTCCTTGCGGTCAGAGCAGCAAAAGTGTGGAACTCCCTTCCCAAGTAGTATGTAGTAGTATCAGCATCAGCTGGCAGTGTTTCCTTGCTGAGCATGATGCACACTACTATGCAACCTTTCAATAAATGAAGAACTGTTCTAAAACTATAAAAAGTCACACAACGCTCATCAATGTCGATATCTTGCTGTGTAAGAGTCAGAATCATGTTCATTTGTGTAATTCTGGTCTTATTCTCTGTGGAATGACGGCAGAAAAGACGCTGAACTGCTTGAACTGGCCACCCTGGAGGGGGTGACCTATAGTCCAAAGCAGCGGTAAGCCGGAAGTCCTTCAGGATGTTAAATGAAACCCAATTTATTTTATTTATTAGAGTTTTCAAAAACCAGAGAGCAATGTTTCGGCATAAGCTCGTTGAAAGCCATAAAAGCCGACATACAGTCCCTACATCCCATCGCCATAGAAACCACTATGCTGAGATCTTACAGAAGTTGGTCACATGACCAAATGCCTCAGTTTTGCCACGTGACCTACCACATGGTATCTTCAAACAGCATTTTCTACATTGAAGGTAGTGGAGTAGGCAGGTTAGTAGGGGGTCTTAAATGATGTTAAAAAAGAAACAAACGTGGAGGCACTGGGCCTGAGGGATCACTCAAAATTAATGTAGCGATATTAGTGTTGTAATTGTAGAGTGGCTGACTTGTCAAATATATAAGGTGAAAAGGCATGGATAAGGGTCCTTCATCTCCCTCAAGAAGTGGAAAGGGGCGGGCACCCAGAAACCACAAATTGAGAGAATTTGGAAACATTACCTTTACTTACATGGACCACTTTGAGCATTTAGAGCAAGGGGTAGCCAAACTTCGGCCCACCAGTTGTGGTGAAACTACAAATCCCATAAGGCATTTCAGGACTGAGCCAGAGGCATGACTTCCATAAGCAGATGCATGATTGGATTTGTAGTTTCACCGCAGTTGGGGGACCTATTTAGAGGATACAGTTCAAAAGCTGTAATACCACTGCTATAAATCTCACAGCAGCGACAAAACATGGTAATATGTAGAATCAAAGGCACTAAATGAGAGTGTTCGAGCTGTTTACCTGGAACCATCTGTAGCCATGGATCCAATGTAGGTGAAGATAAGCCACAAGGAAAGAGGCCACTACATGTCTGGAGTAATTGCACATCCAGCCGGTGAGCCAGAGCTCTCTCATGGCAGCATCTACCAGAGGGTATCCAGTCATCCCTTTCTGCCAGGCTTGTAGATGGCTCTGATCACTGCTCCAGCGTTGACTCTGCAATAATACAAATCCTTCTATCACTGAAAACAGTCAGTCTGTAATACAGCAATATAAGTATGTGAATCAAAGAACTATTCCAGCATCTTTGCGCAAAGGAAGGTTAATAACTGGTGCGGGGTTAGCGTTAAGGTGGAACTAAACTTCAAGCTGCAGGGAAGGGGTCCAACCATATTATCCTCACACATTATGGGAGAGTGATCTACTATTGTGCTCTCCTGCAGCAATGACAGATCCAAGATCACCGCCTGTGCTCTGTCCGCTGCTTCTTTCTGGTCCTGCATCTTCCCTCTTCAGCTATGAAGTACCCGCGAATAATGTAGTCCCTACACATGCATGCTTGTGTTACATCATCCCAGCACCCAGCTCCATTCTAGGTGCCAGGAGTGGCCAGTATATACTGCACTGCCCGCTACACTTGCACAGCAAAAAAGATTGGCAGGCGAAATGGGAAATGTCTACCCAAAAATCTCTTCTTCAAGCAATTTAAGGATTTAGTTCCACTTTAAGTGGGCCGTACACCTCATAATCTGATTGTTTCATTGCAGTAAAATTGCCTTTGAGTTTACAAAACGATAAAATATCAGGACCACCCTAAACAATCCATTCAATGTATAGCCAGTCACAAAGACCTTTGTGCTACACAGTAGGCAATAGATCTAAAGGAATTTGTACAAGCAGGCTGTAACGTATACCGTTAATTTAAAGGTTACAGGTAGGGCTAAAGTTATAGGGAGGGCTCGTAAAAAGCATCATTCTCGGGGCCAGGAGCTCTGTGCCAAAAACGACATGCTGGTCGGTAGCAGCTCCATTTACTTGGAGGTATTGTTGACCCAATAAAACTCCACCCAGCAAAAAAAAGGAAGCACAAAAATGAAATAAAAAGTATTTCTGTATCTGTGGACTTACCCATATCTCAAGGGAAACAAAAAAACTCAGCTTGCAGTGGGGCTACCCCTACGCTGCAAGGGTTCACTGCTCGTTTATGTCTAGGGGACCGATGTAAAGCAGTTTTACTTGCCTGATCCCCACTCCCGCAGCCCCCTTTGTGCTCAGGCCATTGGTGGCCTGCTGACGTTATCACATCTAAAGTAGGGTTCATAGCCCTGCATGATATAGGAGGATGTCAAGGGCTGGTCCATGAGCTGGAATGGAGGGTAGAGGGGAGAGTGCTGTCCGCAGGGGGATCCAGCATCAGGTAAGTGAAATTGCAGTACACAATCTCCTAGACATAAATGAGCTGTTCACCTCTGCAAGGGTAACCCCACTGCAATGGGAGGATTTTTGTTTCCCCAGAGATAAGCTAGAAAGAGGAACTGAGGGCTAGGTTGTGGCAGGAGCACTTCATTTAATATGCATGTATGCATTTATCCCTGGGGTTCCCTGTTTGTTCCATCTTCTTAGAAGCTTCTTTAGCTGCCGGCATCTTCCTTTTTCAGCCATAGGGTGACCAGTGATGAAGCAATTCCCATGTATAGAGTTGCACCATCTCGGCACTCAGCTCAGCCCTTTGCCATCCTATAGATGGTGAGAATGTACAATGTATTGTCCACATGCAGCAAGCTGTGTTCATCAGAAAGCACCTTCAAAGTGTATTCTACCAAAAATCTCTGCCTGCCAATGGTTTTTTTTGCCTGCAGTTCCACTTTACAGTGCCTGCTGTCCAAAGATCTAATTTTTGCCCAAAGGGAAATATCCTCCGCCTCATATTTACTACTATTGAAGAGCTGTAGACACGCATGAGCTGGGAGAAGTTAGATGCACATTCTGATCACAACATGTACCTTGTATGCCCACCTGACAGGTTCCACATGCATGTCTGGAAAGAGGACGAGCAACCAGTAAGCCAGGTCCCGCCAAGCCAGCTTCCTTAGGAACTTTGGCACGCTCTTTTTGGTAAAGTATGCTTCGTGCAGCACTGTCCTCGGGCTAATCTGTCCAAAGTGGAGATATGGGGAAATGTGGCTGGTGTACGGCTTATCGGCTCGCCCAGACTCCTTATCATAGTGTTTTATGCCTGGAAATAAGAAAGAGTTTATTTGTTTTCATCTGGATGAAGCAACAGGTCATCAACAGACATAATCTGTGCTTGGTTATTGGGCGTAAGATATGTTCACAAAACACCCGTTAGATATGACCTAGGACCTTTACCAGTCTCTATGGAGGGAGGAGGGGGCACAGCAAGTAAAACTGGTTCACCCTCTGGCCTGGATCACTAGTTTTCTGCCTCAATGTTTTGCTGCTCATACATTGCAGCACAGTGGCTCAGTGGTTAGCATTTCCTTGCAGGACTGGGGTCCTACGTTCGAATCCAGGTTTTGCCAGGAGTTTGCGTGTTCTCCTTATGTTTGCATAGGTCTCCCTAAGGTACTCCAGTTTCCTCCCACACTCCAAAGACATGCTGGTAGCTTAATGGGCTCCTGTCCTGGGCCTAGTATGTGTGCACATGACCTTACATAGTAATCTCCATGAGGGTAAGGACTGATGTGAATGAATAGCATGTAAAGTTCTGCCTAAATTGACAACATTGTAGATTAAAGGTGACATTATGGTTAGGCTAAAGATCAAAGAGTCAGGGGTTATTTTAAGGGTTGCTTAGGCAGAACATACAGAAGTCAACCAAAAGGTATTAAACTCAAATCAGCTCATAAAGCTTCCTTTAAACTCCCCCAACCAAATTTTCCAGGCAGAGGCCATTCTACAATGGCTTAATGTCAAAGCAAATCCCAGGATTTCTAACTGACTGCTCTATACATGCCATCATGGAAGTATAATGTACTTGCCATCTTCAAGGAAATTCCCTAAACAAGTATAAGCTCCATCTTCACTGAAGTCCCAAGATTTCCTGATAGTTGCTGCCCAGTCTACCTGTAAAAACACATATAAGACACTATTCAAGTTACATAGATGTGTGAGAATGGTTATTCGGCGTCATTGTCATACTATCAATACTTTCTTAGAATAACCCAATGACGGATATATGGTGGTTGCTGATGTCCGATTACCAAGACTGGAATGTAGCTGGGACGGATTTCATGGCCGACTTCGGGCACCTTGATTTTTAGAATTTTACCTCTGCCCCTTATGCACCATTTACTTTCATGTACACTCTGCTAAACACTGTATGTAGCCGGCTTCAGTGACATCGCAGGCTGTGCTTTGTGAATGGTGTACCACCGAGGTAAGGAGGGGCAGTAGAGGCAACACACACACACGTCTCTGTCATAGATGTTTCAACAATGAGGGGCGGAACCAGGAATGAAGCTCCTTCTGTATTTTTCAGGGGCAGCAACATACAGCGGTGAGTTTACATAATAATTAAAAAAAAGTTAATGCATGAAGGGCACAGGAAAAAAACATCAAGGCATATGAAAGTAAAAAAATCAAGGTGCCAGGATTTGGGAATCAATAAAAAGGTTGGAAAGGTCATTCGCACAGACACAACTGTATAGGCCATTAGGAGGCGTACAAGGCACAGAAGATGAACGAGTGACAATGTAGGAGCTCAGTCCCCTGATGCTAGAACGACAAATGAACCCTTATTTATTGAATAACATGATTATTTGTAGACTTATTCAGACACATTCATACATTAGTTGTATTTAAAATACATTTTAATGAATACATAACTGCACTAAATTGTGTTATCATTCTATCTGCCCATAGCTCAGCTTTTACTCACCACAGTGCCATCTTTCCTGCGAGGCATCTTTGCCAAGTCCAATCTGTCCAGCTCCAGTGAGTCAGGCCAGCATGACGGCAGAGGAAGGCTTGTGGGAGCCTCCAGGGGATCTCCTATTGGGGTGGAAGAGTTCCTTTCACAGCAGCTCAAGAAATGGCTCACAGAGCCAATACCTAGGAAAGTAGGAAATGGAGAGTTATAGAACATTTTACAAGAGTTATATAAGTGAGCATAACCTGGCCTAAGAGGAACGGCAACACCAGTGCTAAAGTCTCTTACAGGTACCTCGATCCCTGTATTCCTGGGGATGTTTTGCTGCACCGGGGATGTGTTTAACGTATTTGAACTGAAGGTTCAGTTGGGCTTTAAATGATATCTAAAGACAACATTTATTAGCTTGGAGTATTGAAGGCTTAAGCCTGTGACACACTGTATGCGAAGCCGTGCAGAGCAAAGCAAAGCTGTCTGGCATGGAGCTTTGCGTGCAGTGTGCGAGCTGAGTGCAGGCAGATGAATGAGAGCGCCTTCAGCCAGCCAAACGGCTCCCGCGTAACAGCCGAATGGATGTCGCATCCCGACGCGTGGGTTTATACACGCGAGCCGATTGGCTGAAGATTAAATTTTTTGTCTCAGCATGCTCAGCTATGCGAGCTCGCGCAAGCCGACGTGCCGGAGTGAAAATGACATGACCCACTGCACACTGCAAACATTGCTCTGCTTGCTGCCCCCCCACGTGACCCCAAGAGATGCGCCTGAGGCAATAGGGCCGGCCCTGGGTTGTCATAAGGGTTTTTGGTCAATTTATGTATTTTTTAATAATTGACATGTGATAATCTTATCTTTTACATCACGTTTTGATTATTTTAGGGCTGGTAATGATAAAAAATGTCGTGTTCGATTAATCGAAAAATGTAGTCGATTAATTTTGATTAATACCTCACATACAGATCCAACTACATTGGCCTATACACATGCAGCACAGCAATGAAGTAATAAAATGAATTAGGATCACACTAATCCAGCACATTATTAATCTCACGTGCCCCACTCAATATGGCCGCCGCTTCAGTGTGGCAACTCAGAATAATAACGTGCTGGATTAGTGTGATCCTAGTTCATTTTATTACTTCTTTGCTGTGCTGTATGTGTATAGGCCAATGCCTTGGCTGGCAGAAAGTTTCTTGGGCAAACTCACCGGCCCAAGTGGCTCCGTCGGCTAACGAAGGGGGGGAGGAGTCCGGTGACGTCACAGACATCGACATCACCGGACTCCTCCTCCCTTCCCTTCGTTAGCCGACTGAGCCACTTGGGCAAGGGGGGAGGAGTCCGGTGACGTAGATGTCCGTGACGTCACCGGATCGCCGACGGGACTCCCGGAAGCCGGCGGAGAGGTGAGTGTTTTCATTAGCGATCAAAAAAATTTTAATCAATCAAAAAGTTTAATGATTAAATCGAGAAATTCATCTTTAAATTCCACAGTCCTAGATTCTTTGTATGAAATGTTCATGTATTTAGTATTTCCATGGAGGAGAAATAGTATTTTGCTCCTAAACATTTGGGGTACTTCTGGTTTCTACATAGTAAAGTACAATACAATTCTATTCCTTGTCTAGGTAAAAGACACGTACACATGTGTGGGTGTGTGTGAGGCGGGGGTGAGAACACAGGGGTTAGTCACGGCTCTTTGAATGATAAAATAAAGTGGGCTCTGTGAATACCAGCAAGCGTTGTCATTCTAAAGAGAGACTTTTTATTATACCCCCAGCAGACTGGCACACAGCAATTACCATAGTGATGAATGAGCTATGTATAACACAGTGTTTGAAATGAAAAGGCATACCCACACTATGAAATCAGAACAGTAAATCAGAGAGGAATGAGCCAGAAAGAGTCATTTATTATGATTGTCTGTGGATCACTGCGGGGAAAAATACTAGAGGCTTTAGATGGAATCTTTCCCTTAAACTGGCCGAATTACATTCGTCTCTGTACAATTCCACTTTAGATTTACCAACAAGTGTGTAACGTAAGAGACGCATCCCTGAACAATTCATTCAATGTATATCTAATCAGGTAAAGCCCACGCAGTACAAATCTACAGGGATTGTCTAATCAGATTACACAATGTATGGCTAGCCTGAGATAAATATATTTACAATGCAAGTTATCATGTTAAATGTCCTAAAAGGAAACATAATATCATTTTGTAATGGTACATAAAGCCGGGAAGTGCTAGATAGAGCCAACACCTCAGCAACTAGGAAAGCAGCGCGGGTGATAACAATGCTGGGATTCTATCATGTGGCCATAGTTCTCATTTAAAGTGAATCTGCGCCCAGAATATGGGCATTCAAATATTCTTATCAAGCAGTAAAAGCATTTTAAAGCCACACTTGGGCACAATGATCATTTGCACAGTGCATTGGGTGTGTATATTATCATTATAAAGATGGGTGTTATGTGCAGAGGGCGGCTGCAAAGTAAAAAAAATCCAACCTTGCAGCACATGGTCCCTCTCATAGAACGCACAGCTTCCGGGCAGTGAAGAGAGGGAGCCATGAGACCCGAGCTGTACAGTGCCCCTCCTCACTATTGTCCACTACAAAAATGTCTTCTATTTTTAAAGCATACAAGACATTCTGTGATTGGAGAAAGGATGTCGTCACATGACCGCCCCCTCCTCCAATCACAGAATGTTTTGTATTCTTTAAAAAAAAATACAAGACATTTTTAGAATGGACAATAGCGAGGAGGGGCGGGAGATGTGACCAGAGTGCTCTACTGTTCGAGTCGCATCTTTCCCTCGGTTCAATGCCCGGAAGCTGAGGGCCGGTGCACACCTAGGCGACACCTCACCGCGTGGCAATCCGCACGGTCAGGAGTCGCCACGTCGTGAACCGATTGCGCTATGGGTGGCATTATTTTCTAATGGTACCCCAGTCACGCCAAGCTAACAAGCCTCCTGTGTTATAGCATTTGGAGATGACAGGTCCTCTTTATGGAGAGAGGACGGGGAGGAGGGAGCGGCTGCAGTCTTATTACAAGTGATCTTGGCGACATCGCCAAGATCACTTGTAAACAAACAAGCGGCTTCCTCACACTACATTTAGCCCTGCTTGTCCATTGACCAAAGCAGGGCTAAATGTAGAAAACATCTTACTGCCCGGAACGGCATGTCCCGGGCATCGGGGGAATCCACACCGCTGCCGCACTTCTGCTCCCTGCCGCCCCAAGGCCGGGCCACGGTGGCCTTGTGGCAAATCCGGCCCTGAATACACATACTAGTTCTGGCCAGTAACAATGAACCTAATCATGGCGTCAATGCCACCAACTAGTGTGCAGTCCATGTATCAGGGATTGGCTGCTGAAATCATAGTTTTCTGCTTTCTGATAGCATGTGAAAATCCTTACCTCGAAGTCCGACACCCTCAGAACTGACTGAATATGGTTCATATAGGCAGTATGAATGGTATTTTGTAAACGTCACTCCTTGTCCCTTTAATGTCTCTGATATGAGATCATCTCGGTCCTTTAACCAAGGCTCATACACTGCATTCACTAGGACGGTGCCTGCACCGGTCTCCTGCACAAGGTGTAGAAGTTCATCAGCGCAAGAATCATTCACTCGGAAGACTATGTGGCTGCCATAGTTCTGTGCCAGAGCCAGGTTGAGTTGGGCCAAAGCATGGTGAAGCCAATATTTCGTAGCACCACCGGTAGCCAGTGTGAAGTTCTGACCCTTCTCCTCACTCAGACTCCACAGGAAGACAGGGATGATGGGCGCTCCCAGTTCTAAGGCTGCAATTAAAGCTGGATTATCATGGAGTCGGAGGTCTCTCCTGAACCAAACCACCACTGCTTTCATCCGTACCGGATTTCTCTGAACCGACGAGTTCTTCTTTCTTCTGCCCCTCCTGTTCCTTTTCATCTTGTCTTCCTTTTTGATCGGGGACTGGATTGGATAAATCTCTCTCCCATCACAGTGTAGAACACAGTCCTCGGGTTCTGGTTGGCCAGAATACAAGCTGTCCAGGTGATTTGTAGTCTGAAGTTTGGCCAGGTTTTTAGAAAGCTCTTCATTGGCCGAGTCCCCCCGGACGTTCCCCCATTTGGCAGTAGATGAGGGTTTCGGGTCACCAGTGCTTTGTGGGAGAGATGATTTCTTAGCAGCTTCTGCGAATGAGACTCTAGAACTGGAGACCGGATACGGGATTGTGCAGCCAGAGCCGGCAGCTGATTGGGCTTCCTGGAGAGATAAAGCTACTGCCAGCTCCAGCTCCTCCTCATAGGTCTGCTCTGAAGGTCTCTATGGGGAAGAAGTAAAAGATTCATTACATTCTCTACAAACAAATCCTGCTCATTGTACGTCATACAATATGTACCGAGTACCCTTGGCTATCATTAGCAGAATGACAGGACTTAGTAGGTGGTGGCTGTACCAATCCGTTAATCATTAGGTGGTGGGTGTACTAATCCGTGAATCAGTAGGTGGTGGGTGCACCAATCCGTGAATCATTAGGTGGTGGGTGTACTAATCCGTGAATCAGTAGGTGGTGGGTGTACCAATCCGTGAATCATTAGGTGGTGGATGTACTAATCAGTGAATCAGTAGGTGGTGGGTGTACCAATCCGTGAATCATTAGGTGGTGGATGTACTAATCAGTGAATCAGTAGGTGGTGGATGTACTAATCAGTAGGTGGTGGGTGTACCAATCAGTGAATCAGTAGGTGGTGGATGTACTAATCATTGGGTGGTGGATGTACTAATCAGTGAATCAGTAGGTGGTGGGTGTACCAATCCGTGAATCAGTATGTGGTGGATGTACCAATTAATGAATCACTTGGCGACATCGCCAAGATCACTTGTAACAGTAGGTGGTGGATGTACCAATTAGTGAATCAGTATGTGGTGGGTGTACTAATCCATGAATCAGTAGGTGGTGGGTGTACCAATCAGTGAATAAGTATGTGGTGGATGTACCAATCAGTGAATCAGTATGTGGTGGATGTACCAATTAGTGAATCAGTATGTGGTGGGTGTACTAATCCATGAATCAGTAGGTGGTGGGTGTACCAATCAGTGAATAAGTATGTGGTGGATGTACCAATCAGTGAATCAGTAGGTGGTGGATGTACCAATCAGTGAATCAGTAGGTGGAGGATGTACCAATCAGTGAATCAGTAGGTGGTGGATGTACCAATCAGTGAATCAGTAGGTGGTGGGTGTACCAATCAGTGAATCAGTAGGTGGTGGCTGTACCAATCCGTGAATCAGTAAATGGTGGGTGTACTAATCCATGAATCAGTAGGTGGTGGGTGTACCAATCAGTGAATCAGTAGGTGGTGGCTGTACCAATCAGTGAATCAGTAGGTGGTGGGTGTACCAATCAGTGAATCAGTAGGTGGTGGGTGTACCAATCTTGGTGTGCTCTGTGTATTTCTTCCAGATCTGTGCAGTTATGCAGTGTGACACTTTGCCTCTGTGTAGGAGCTTCCTGTAATAAAGACTGGTCACTGCTGCTCTTTCTCCTTGAGCACAGTGACAGGTCTAGTCTCCGCCCCCTCCTGTAGTTTCCTGCAGACAGCCTGTAGTGGGTGGAGCTGCTGGGCCCCTCCCACAGCTCTTCCCTCTGCATGGGCCATGTACAGCCCAGTGATGAAGTCACTGATACGTTTACAAAAAATCCAGGTGTGCCAAATCATTTGTTACACACAAAGCAGATTCAGAGCCAACTCCCCCTAGCAGCTGCGCTACACGCACGGCTGCCGGTTGGCATTACCAGACACAGTGCCGATGCGTCAGGGCCAGCGTATCGCACTGTTTACCTTTCTTTTTGTTAGAACTTTATTGCAATGTCACTCATGACAAGTTCTATGGGCACAGTGCGGTGTGGTGAGTTGTACCGCATTGCACCCCGCTGTACTGAAAGGAAGTAGCGCATGCAGTACTTTTCAGCACACACCACCGCAGCCCACTGAGCCCATTTGAAACCAGGCACATTGCCTCGTCTAGCGCTGCCCTGCGGTATCTGGTGTGAATCCAGCTTCATACCCGTTGGGGTTATTGAGGAATAGATTTAAATGAAAGGTTTTGTGCTCAAGGGTACAGCATTAAATCTGTGTATATTATGATGTGTGATTCATATTAAAGAAGTATCCCCCATCACATAGCTGTCAGTATTTACAATGAAGGGGAGACCAGTGTTGCTGGTGAGGCTCAGGGTCCTGGCTATCAGAGGCCTTACCTGGAGGAAGTATGCTCGGTGTATGGACATCAGCTGGTCATGCAGGCCGGGGTAGACCTTGCTCAGGCTCTGTATGAGGTCAGGGAAGTGGCGGTGAGTGGTGTTATCCCCCATAGTGGACAGGATCATACAGAAGAACTCCTCCGCCTGGATCTCTCCCTGCATCAGCTGCTGCTTCATACAGCTAATGTCAGGCAATACCGGGTGGCCGGATCTCTCCATGGTGCTCTGTGGCCGCTCTTCTCTGTCTTCCACCCTGTTATACAACCACCTGAAAAAATCTTTCATAACCACTCTGACCTCTCACCTTTCCCCTCCGAACCTAAACCAAAACATAAACCGCGCATGCTCAGTGTTACCTACGGGCGCACGTCGGCCATCTTTGTTGAGGGTATTACCACTCTGCTCTCAACAACTACAAACCCCATGATTCTTTGCGCGTGGCAAGGAAACGCATAATGATGGAAACAGTAGCTTAGAACTTTCTTATGACCCTGGTGTAAAATCTTGTGCTATTAACTGATAAATGGAAGAACACTGTGCCAGTGCTGTGTACTAATAAACATGAAGGCTGTCATGGCAGACCTCTCTGTGGGGAGGGGATTCATAAAAGAATCTGGAGCAGTTACCCATGGCAACCTTTCAGCTTCTCTGTAAAGCTTTGAGGTTTAAACAGAGAAACTGGTTGTTATGGGCAACATCTCCAGATTCTGTCTGCTCCAGTTTTTATGAATTCCCCAGTTTGTTTTATATAACTTTACTACAACCAGCATTTATCAAATGTCCCCACTTATCCCCACAATGTGCAGTGTATACATGTATTGTACAAAATTCACACCTGTGTGATTCGATATTTTGCATTTGCCAGAATAAAAGTAGCTTCATATCTGTGACTTGAAATGATCCTTCATCCGATCAGTTTAGGGCTGCAACTAACAATTATTCTTATAACTGATTAGTTGGCTGATTATTTTTTCGATTAATCGAATAAATCTACATGCACAATTCTATGCAATTGTACCGCACTGGAACGCAAATAACAGAAGCTGGTGGATGATTCAGCTTCCTGGCTGCTATTTCAGGTTTGGGTAGAGTTTTTCCTTTCTCCTTGCCATTCCTGATATGCTTTAGGGATTTATTCCACCCACCTTTCTAACATGAGAATAGTGGCACACTGTTACCCCCACATTTTCAAGAATAAGACCCACCTTGTCAGAATCTGTTCACCCATTCTTTCATTTCAGATTGCCATATGGGTACTCTAGAATGCTGAAGATACCTTCAGTATACTTCAGGCTAGGTCAATATCAGTCAGGGACTGGCTGTAGGCCTTATTCCTAATACCTAGCCGAGTTCAAAATCAATGATAGTAAGCAGGTGGATCATGCTTCTCAGAACAGCCAACTGAAAGTAGATCTGCGACTGGCTATTATTAATCAGGGTGGCCATAGGCAGGCAGATATCTCACGGAGAATACTAAGTGGGCAAGATCTGCCCATCTTCAAGCAAGTTGTCCATGCTGGGACTCACAGCACTTGCAGAATACTTTGATTCTTCACTATTTTCCATAGAAAAATGAAGGATCAGCTCAAATTACCCGATGCTCAAGGTCTCCCTGTGTGATAACAAGTGCTTCCAACCACTACGAGCTCTCATTTTCTCCACCTAGAAAAGTTGGCCTGATTACAGATGACAGAAATCAGGGTCAGGGTGTGCCATTATCTGGCTGCTTATTTCAATACTACTATTTGAATTATATTATACTGTATAATTATCCCCTGTACTGAAACTGACAAAACAGTAAAATATCGATGCCACACAGTCTTTTATATGAGAAGGACTTTACTAAGACAATGTTCTTCCAGTCTTCAAGAAAGTGCAACAAGGGAATCCAGATAATAAGTGAACAAGCCTCCAGTGTTCTAAATTATACAACATACAGTAGCTGACAGCAAATGTTTGCCGCTCTAAATTATGTAATAAACACGGTCTGTTCCGCGACATTAATCAGTTTGTCGCAGGAGTGATTTCCGCCAAGGAACCTATTTTCACCAGTTACAGTAATCAGCATGGGACCAGTTCTCAGTTCATTTATGTGTTCTTGCCTCAAAGCTACAGACCTGAACATCAGTTAGATCTGTCTAGTGGTTTGCAGATGGGAAAGTTTGTTAAAACTAAAAACTACGTATCATTATAATGAAAATATTGACATATAGATGTGTTGTGATAACACAATCATCCAACCAAGATTAATTTTTTTTATTTTAGTGTTGGATAGAATGGGAAGCGTTAAAACCTCTGTAAGCTTTGTATTGCTGTCTATGTTCCCATTAGGGAGATATACCCTATCTGTGTTGGTAAGCACTAAAATAGAAGGAATATCTAGAATTTTGAGTTGTCACCGTAACAAGAATAGAGGGGAAACCTTTCAATAGAGCACTTGTTCTGGTGAGGTGTTCACCAACTTCTGATTCAATCAGCATTTGAAAAAGCTTAAAAACATTTTGGCATTAATATCCATTTAAAGTGACACTGAACTCAGACGTTAAATCTTAAAAATGCATTCAGGTACCTTAACTATTAACAAAAATATAACTTATTTGTGTATTACTCATCTCTGAATTGATGCTGACACTGTCCTTCCTTCTGGAGGGTGGCTACTTTTATTCCCCATGGTCCCTGTGTGTGTTGTTGTAATGTGGCCACCACTCCAAGCTCACTCCCGTGATGGACTACAATCTCAATAGAAACTGGTAAACTAAACATGAGATTGTAGTCTATCACAGAAGCGATTTTTGAGCGGAGACTACTTTACAACACACACACAGGGACCATGGGGAACAAAAGTAGCCCCCCTCCAGAAGGAAGGACAGTGTCAGCACCAATTCAGAGATGATTTGAGGGCCTACAGCAGAGTGATACACAAGTTACATTTTTGTTAATAGATAGGGTACTTTCATGTATTTTTAAGATTTAACGCTGAGTCTAGGGGTCACTTTAATGATGGTCTTATGTGTGGTATGTGGATTAAGGAAACATAACAGTAATTGTGCTGAGCTTTAACAATAGATGCTTTAGAAATAATTACTGAGACAGTCCCACCTGCTTGCTTGCATCTCCATAGTCACAGATTAGTTCTGCAGGCATACATAAACTAGGATAACCCTTAGTTCCCGCCCTAGCTTAATTATATAGCTGCCATATCAGACAGACAGACTTTTTCATTGTTACCTCCTTCCACATGGCGACAATGAATAGGTCATTGCCTTGGACCCAGGCTAAATTATGAAGAACCCACCAAGCAGGCTTTTGAAGGTGTGTGGCGTTTGTACGTGATTGGATATATGTGGCCTTTGATTACCAAGGAATAATATTAACAGTACACAAACCTGTAATAAATTAGATTAAAAACCAACAAATTAGAACTGCTCCACCACTGGAAGCAATATATCACTTAGTAAATTTGGTTTCATGGACAAAAGACAAAAAGCCCTAGAGAGAATCAGGTGGCTCTGACGGCATTGATTTTTGTAATGAATTAACAATCTTGAATGTGTGCAGGTAATAGATTGTTTTTTCCCCAGTTGGCCTCTCCAAAATTATTCTCTGTAAGAGTAGCCATGGCAACAGTCAATAATATGTCACCAGTGGAAGTAAATTCAATGCATACATATCAAAAGGTGTTCCTATGTGCACTAACACACAGTGTCCCAATATCAATGGAGACCAAGATAACGTGCTTAGAAAGGGAATGGATAACCAGTTTATAAATATAAGAGGATTGGTATATATGCAGCATAGAAGGTCCAACAGATAGAGGGATGAAGATTAGGGAAGCAGGTGGGACCCTTAGAACATGCATTGCAGTGCTGTGTGATGAGGTGTGAATGGGTCCCTAATCGTTTTGCCACGAGGCCTTATGATACATAATTATGACCCTGCATATGTTTTCATGTATATACGGCTAATGGCACTTTGGGGTCTTTTTATAAACAATTTGCAGGGCCCTTCACCTTGTGAATATCTATGAACCTTTGCTTTGTGTGAAAAATGGCAAAAACGAATGCTCATAATGTTTTCTCCCAGTTTGAATGTAGTGCGTGTAGAGGTAGGGACAAGTAGGGGGGGCAGATCCATGGGTACCTTTAGCTGAAAGGGTATTAGCACTAGATGTGCGCCATCCCTTGTGTACCCAGGTGTTTGTAGTGTGGCCCTCCTCTCCTTTGACCTCCCTCCTGAGAAAGCTGTTATATGCAAAACACGTAGAGAGTGAAGCCATCAGGATGTTATTTGTTGCTGAATTTATGAACATCGACTGACCTGGATCATGGCTGTGACCTGAAGATGTCTGCACATACTTATGCAAACTTATGTCTATGATGTTACCAACAATCAAATGGCTTCTGGGAGGTTGTTCGGTCAAGGTTGTGGGAGTGTTTTTATTTTTACGTTTTTTCTTTGTTGTATTTTGCAAATGATGTTTTATGTAAATTACTAAAGTATGTAAAAAATTTTAAAAGAATAACACAGCAGTGTTTCTTTTACTGTATATGTATTAGGCGTGTGGTATCAATTGCCCCAGTTTAAATATGCCCATTACTATGATGGAACAGCCAAAACTGTATACTATACTATTTAATTTATGATGTGTTAGTAACCCTTGAACTAATCAAAAGCACCTTCTTCTACATTAAGCAATTGTGGGGGAGTGTTAATAAAGGGCTAGCAAAGTGCGATATATATATATATTACTATACATAAAAAGTATAGTACTATATTAGATGTTCTTATTATTGTTGCTGTAACTCACTAATTCTAGATCATTGTAGCACTACAGGAGGTGTTGTAGGCTTGCAGAAGTGAGTTAAGCGTGTCTTTTGAAAAACATTCTGTTCTGGGATTTGACAATCATCTGGTAGTCATAAGCCATGTGGCCTTCAATTGGTTTGTCTTTCAACACTTGTGTTATGCAGACTTTGATGTTTGACTTTGAAACACACAGCTATTGAAGGATGAATCTTCTGGTCCGCTCATTTTCCTTGTAATTATTTTTATAGTAGCCACCTTAAAGCAGCTAGATTACATTTTCAGCGTTTAATTGGGCAGCATTGTTTGCAGGTTTTGAGTGGAGCTGTGGTACATTGCAGGAAAAACCTATGGGAGATTGTACCTGGTGTCATATAAGATTTATACTTACCCAGATCTGAGGAGCACTGCTCTGCTGTTTGTTGACATCTAGCACTGCACATCTTCCTCACCTGGCAACGTCTATCTCCTTGGTGGGGCTGTAAGGTGCATGTG